GGAAGAAAAAATAAAATCAATGTAAATTATGTGACTAATGGCATATAACAATAGTTGCAGAGGGCAGTCGACAAATGTGGATGGCAACTATGACGCGAGGGAGGTTGGTGACAAGCGGGTGGTCGTAGCAGTCGCGGCGAAGAAGTCGGTGGCAAGCTACAGTTGGCGACCAACAGAAGCGCACGATAACGAAAGTTGGGCGTACTTAGAATTTACTCATATCCAACAAATTTGAAGTACGTTGAAAATTAACTCAATGATGAATGTTAAATTCATTATAATTTACATTGCATCTCGAAATCATCCGATCAAACACAAAAAATTTCTGAAAGTCTTGCAAGAGAAATACAACACACTTCTTTTGCAGTAAATCAAACGAAACAATAAATAAACATCTCAAATGTTGATAAGCTCCCAATGAATTAATATTAGAAGAAAATATTTCATATAATAAAGTCTCAAATGTATTAATGTCAATTTTATATAAGGAAAGGTGTGGCGTGTAAATGTCAAACTTGAATTGTTAGGAACTTGAATGCATTGGAATAGTGTGCATGAGAATCATAAGATGAAATAGGACGATGTGTGACATGCCAAAATATTATCAATTATATGCCTATATCAAAGTGAGACAAAAGAGAATAACCAATGATACCTATAGACTTAAATATTACTATTATCCATGTATATCATATAAGAAAAAACTCTCTTATATAAATTCTAAATATTTTTATTAAGTAAAAAAAAACATTATCATGATTGTAATTTACATATTTATAATATAAAATACATCTTGAAGTGTAAGGACTATAGATTGAGGATGGAGAAGATGATATAATTTAAATTAAATGCACATTTTTAAGATCAAAAGTATATTATTTGATTTTAAGCTTAAAAGTATTACTAATTTTAACCTTATTAATGATACTTCAAATGACTTAGAGCCTCCAGAACTTTAATTGGAGAACGACTCAAATTCATTACTCGTAAAGGAGAGCCACGATAGTCGCAGTATGGCTCTCTAACTTACGTAGTGGTGTTACATCCAAGTGTTGCAGTGTCAGACTCTTGAGTTCTAAGAACCTAAACTTCTACCTTTCGGGCGCTGGGTGTTAGGTATGGCTCATATACCAGGAAATTTGGAGTATCTTGAAATGGAGATGTGTGTCTCCTGGAATGAAAAAGAGTGTCTCTTGGTGTGAAGATGTGTGTCTCTTGCATTAGTGGGTTGGGGGAGCGAGAGCGTGTTTGTAAATTTATCTGAAGGTTTTATTTATAAATAGATGTATAACCCTATGGGTATGTAATTCCTCTGAAATAGTTAAATTCGTTGCTCTTCTCCCAATGATGTAGGCATCTTTGTCAAACCTCGTTAAATCTCTGTGTTCTTCTTCTGCTTTTGGGTCGGTTCCTGTGTTTTCTTTGCCCTAAATTTCTCAACACTGGTGTTGTTGGCTCAGCATTGGGGCGCTATTGGCCAGGTGTTGGGGTGCTAGGTATAGTTTTTTTTTTTTTGGGTTGTGTGCAACATCTTGAACCCAATACCGAGGAGACACCCTGAGGTGCCCCCCACTACCCCCCAACACACACACACACACACACACTCACTACATGATTAATTGGTGAAATTGTGGCCTTTGAGTGAACAATTTATGGCACAATCAAATTTCACATAATAACATATGTCTAATTGGACAAAAATTAAAAATATAGTAAGAACGTGGTGAAAGAACATAACTAATAAATATTTTAATCTTGATTCGTCCCTAAAATACCATATTGATTGAAATGAAGCTCGATGCATATTTAAGTCTGAAGCTTAAAAAATTGAATTTGGAATTGGCCAAACTTCAATTTATGATCAAGTGAAGTGTAGTGGTAAGGCTAAATAAACGATATAGAAACTAGTCTGATCTAAGACAGTGGTGCATACCATGCATTTAAAGTACAAATAGGTGCTTCGGGACACACTTTGAGGAACCAAATGATCCTCAAATCTAGCAAGCTCATAGTCCAATCAAGCGCATCAATGAGAAAAAATTAACGAGCCCAAAGTCACTTAATTCCAACATTATTAAGAAATTCAAATACTTATAAAACTACATCTGATCAATGGAATCACATTGGGTCATCAAATGAAGTATTTTAGATTCATGCAATATTATAAAGGATTTCACTCACAAAATCTATAAATAAACCACACTATTTTTATGAGAGGGGACTTGGATATGAAGGAAAAAGCTGAAGGAGCTTCAAACTCTTGAGGGATCCTAAGTTCCACACCACCAAATTATTGTCGTTGAGCCACCGCCATTGCACGACCACCGTTGTCGAACCACCACCATCATTGCCACCATACCACAACTGTTTGATCACCACCATCGCCAAACCATCGCAGTTTCGTCGCCACTGCTACCGACCACCATCGTCGTCACCCTAAGGCAAGCGCTTTCTAGGCGCTACTGTTGTTGGACCACTGCACCCGAGCCAGAAACCTAAGTCAGGTCGCCACAGTCATCAGACCACTACAATCAGGTCTCCACCACTATCGTTTAACCACTCTTGTTGTTGAATCAACACTAACAGACCGCCACCATGGTTGTTGCCAGAATATTTTCGTCTGGTTGACGCAGTTAGACCACTATTGTCTTATCGTTGTCGCAGTGAGACCGTCGCTGCCCGAACATTGCCTTTGGTCGCTGCCACCGCTGCTCGACCGCCATCATTGCCGTCGTCATACCTTCGTATTCCGACCCATCATGGCATCAAATTTTCTAGCACTTGATTGTCTCAACTGTTGGTTTTCTTTTTCATAAAAACTAAGTCGCCGCTACCTGCCTAATGTATTCCACCACTCACTTATAGAAAGTTACATAGATAACCCCCACTTATATAATATTTCTTCTGGCTATTTAAGTGTCGATAAAGTCATGCAACCTACCTGGACATAGTGAAATCATTTCAACATGGCTAAGCCCTATGATTTTTACCTTTATTTTAGTTTCTCAAGTTTAAGAAAAAAAAAATCTCTTATTATCTCAGTCAGTCATGTTTTTTCTATGTCAGATCTTTGTACAATACTAAGATATTAATATAGCACTCTACTGCCACGAATTTACGCGCACATAACAATTCTTATTATATTAACAAATTAATTACTTATTTACTTTTGAAAATATTGATGTAGAATCAATGTGCACATAGACTTGTATTATTACTACTATAATATTTTTCAGAAAATTTAGATTATAGGAGTAGGACAAAAGAACAAAAAATCCTATCACATACTCATTTATTTCAAAACAAGAACCAGTGCTAAATTTATTACATGCATATGTGACATGTCACATATTATTAATAAATATATCTAAAACAATAATGCAAGTCATCTGCCACACTCAAAAGCAAGTAAAAAAATATGATTGGAAAAGTATGAGATGCATTCTTAAAAAAAAATTAGTAAATTTAAATTTATAGAATTCATTAAAGCTGTTAAGGTCGTTTTCATACAGTCCTTAAAATCTCTTATCATACAACCCTTAAAAAAAGAATGCAGGGATGAAAGTAGGAGGACTTTAATGCGGGCATTTAATCATCCTATACTTTAAAAAACTCAGGGCCTCTTTGGGGGGAGTTTATTTGGTGCGGTGGCGTCTTGAGAACGCACCTGACTGTTTGGATAAACTACGTTTTGGAAGCTTATGCGTTTTCAAAAAAGCAAAAAACAGCGTTTTCATATTGCATTTGTCTAGGTGCGGTGACAGTTTTTTGGCAACAGTCTGACTTTTCAAAAAAAATAAAAATTTATAATAGCCACTGCACCTAGCTTATCAGCAGATTATTTTTAATCAGCTTATCACCAGATTATTCAATAAATTACAGCTGCCCCAAACAGACCCTCAATTATGAATTGCAAAAATAATTAATTAATTATAAATAACAAATAAATTTTCATCCCTTCTATAAAAAAATTCAGACAAGTTGGGCTAATATTTATTGGGATAGTTACCCATTAATATTTGGGCTTGTCTTTGGAGAGGATTTAGGCCCAACTACCCATGCTTTATCGCTTGTGGATACAGTTCCTTTATTAAATTGAAAACAATTCTTTTACAAAAATTTAGAGCAAATATTGCTTTTAGGTGGTGCGTTGAAAAAACTTATAGAGGCATTTACATAGACACCAACAAATTTCTATGTATTTACATATCTAACATCTAAAGCCTAAAAAAAGAAATAGACTTTTCCATTTATAGAATATGTGAATATTTATATATATGTAAAAATGAAAATCCAAGTGTTAGGTATGCAAATACATAAAAATCGAGTGAAAAGTATGTAAATCATCCTAAAATTTAAAATTAATGTTTCAAATCAAGACTGATATAAAAAAAATAAATTTTTATTTATCAATCACTCAAAATATTAAGCATCGACCATCTGATGATCAGAATAGGAGAGTAGATGTTTTAGACTCGACTTATATTAAGAAAAGCAGAGATAGACCTAGGAAGACGAGTTTATTGTATAAAAAATGATTTTTATTTATTAGAACTAAATAAAAATATGATACTAAATAGGATGCAAGGAAGAAAAATGATTAATGCAGTCGCCTCCACGTAGTGGGATTAAGACTTTTTTGTTGTTGTTATTGTTGTTGTTCACTCAAAATATTAAATTTAATATTTTAATCACTAAAAATAAAAAAATAACCTTTAAATTACTTAAAATTTTCTTTGGAGATGTTCATGAGTAAATTTAGAAGGATGATTGAGTGATTAAAATAATATATTTAAAATTTAAATTGTTAAAATATTATTTTTAGTATTTTAAGTGATTGGTTAAAGAATTTTTAACTTAACCCCAAATAAATATCTTTAGATGGGCTTTTATTGAGTCCAACACGGAACAAATTGGGCCCCTTTTTCAGCTATCCCAGCTCCGTCGCGTCGCACTCGATCGGCGGCGTGCGACCGCACGCAAAATTAATACGAATCCAGCGAAAATAACCGTCCATAAGAAAATCGACGGCATCCAGCAATAGACTTTCTTAGCCCGCATACGATCTATTCGCATACTCAGCCAGTCCATTTCACTAGATCCAAGTCTTCTTCCTCCTCCGGCTCTCGTTGTCGGCGAAGGGTCGCTGAAAAAAAAAAAAACACAAATAAGTAAAGAGATCGAAAAAATCAGTTGGATTTATGAGATTGCATTCCAATCCTTCCAAAATCGCTCCTTTCGCAGCAGTTTTGATTCTCCGTTACATCTGTTTTCGCAAACCCTAACTCCGAAACTCTTGCCACAAATTTGTCGATCGAATCTTCAATGGATGATTCCGAGGGGGCTTTCAGCTTTGACTTCGAACCAGCGCTAGACGCCGGCGGTGGAGAATCCTCGGCGGCCGTGGGGCAGGATCCTTACGGAGATCCGAGGGTGGCTATGGCGCCGGAAAACGCTGTCGCGCCGCAGGACCGGAGAAATTTTCGGCGGACGGTTTGCCGGCACTGGCTGCGCGGTTTGTGCATGAAGGGTTCGTCTTGCGGGTTTCTCCACCAGTATGATAAAGAGAAGATGCCGGTTTGCAGGTTCTTTCGGAACTTTGGTGAGTGCAGGGAGAAGGATTGCCTCTATAAGCACACCGTGGAGGAGATCAAGGAGTGTCACATGTATGTATGCTTTTGCCTTCGCTTCTATCAGTTTACTTATTCATACTATTCTGCGGGTTTTTTTTTTTTTTTTTTTTTTTTTTTTTCCTTCCGATTTTAGTGCGTATTTTGACGCTGGATGTGGTGCGCTCTCTGTGATTTTTTCAAAGTTTTCTTTTTTTTTTTTCTGTTTTTATTGAAAACAAATTTGATCTGCGATCTGGAAAGAATTAGAATAGTTTGGAGGTTATTGTTGGGGGAGTTGAGGCCGTTTTGGCTCTGATTGAGATGACTATTTTTAGTCTTACATGCTGTTGTGTAAAATTCTGCGCCATCTTCGTCACTTCCATCAAAAAGGAGATTTTTATTTTATCAGCTGGTCGGGGTAGAGTCTTACGGGTGTTGCAAACTCATTTTGTGAGCGGAAGTGGCCAAATAGTGCAGAACTTGCTGATAAGTTTATTTAGTTAATGCGTCTTAAGAGTTGAGTTTCTGCCTTTATGCTTATTGAAGGATTCTGTAAAGTTTGTTTGTGCGCTTTTCCTTTATATCTGTTCCTTCTGCAATTGACTAACTTTTGGGCACTGAAATCATTGTCTAAAAGTAGATGGAAATTGGGGAGAACCACTTCATGATTCATATTCTTTGGGGAAAAAAGTTGAAGCTGTAATTAAAGTTGCAAAGTCGTGATTTTGGTCATTATTTTTTCTTGTTGAAGATGCACTGTGCTAGGAAGTTGAAATTTTAGAGATCTGATTTGTTGAATCATAGTTTCTCTTCCTTTATATATGTATTTTTACTTCACTTCCGTTTGGATTCAGCAGTGTTGATGTGATAGTTTTCAAGAGCCTTTGCTAGTCAAAACCATGCAATCTAATTTGCATGATGGTGAGGGTGATGGAGGTAACTATACTAATGGATATCCCAGCAAACAGAACAATTTATTCATCATGGATTATTAAATATTAAACTATAGGTGTTAGATATGTGAATACATAAGAATTTAGTGGCATGCATGTAAATTTTGCTTTTTTTTTTTTCAAAAACAAGAATTGGAAGGACTCTTTATGATTTCACTTTATCTTCACGCAGCTGGCTTGTTTGTCATTGTATGTTGAAGAAAACATGGAGTTTCTTTAATCCAATCAATTTTATATTTGATTGAGCAGACATACCTGCAAATCTTAATTATATGTTTACTATATTGATGTTGAAGAAAATACGTTATCCATGTTATGTAAACTATGCCTTACTAGTTCTTAGGAGATGCAAAACTTGCATGTAGACCCTAAGGTGTGTGCTTTGAACTAATTGGGTGTTTATTGTGTTGCAGAATGTTATTTTGACCCCCAATTAATGAACTAAGGTAAAATGGTACTTTTGTAATGTGATACCGCTCACCTACTACATCTCACATACCGTTCACCTACCACTCACCTACCACTCTCTTGCTTCTATAAATAGAGAGGGTGTGAGACTTAGGAGAGCAAGGGAA